GTCCCGTCCCTTTGGATGGACATTATGGTCTGGTTTTTTTGTGGTTGGTTTTGTTTGTTGGAATGGTTGGGTTCTTTTTTTTTGTTTCGTCTTTTTTTGTCGTGGACATTGTTGGTTTTGAGTTTTTGTTGCGGACTGGGGGGGGGGGGGGTGGACATTTGTTTTATGGTTTGTTTCTTTGTGTGTTTTTTTTTTTGGTTGTTGTTTTTTTGGACATTTGTTAGGAAATTTTTGCTGTTGGTTTTGTTATTTCTTGTCATTTTTTGTGAAACAATCGCTGGACATTCTTTCTTCCCCCCAAATTCAAAAGTGTCACGCGCGGGGAAGACCGCCGTCGAAGCGCAAGTCATTAGACCCGCCGCCAACATTGAGCATGGGGGTGGGGGGCATTGACAGGTGAATGCGACACGAGTGTTCGTTAATGTCTTCCGAGGCTTGTAGAACTCCCACCCTGCCAGGTCAATTAGCGAATCGCCCTCGGTTCTCAAACGGGCGTCGCGGCCGCAGTTTTGTGCGGGATTGCGGCCCGTCGGGTTCTAGTCCCATGCCTTTTCCACCAGAAGATGTTCTGCCAGAGGGCGGTCGCGATCCGAACGTTGGCGTCTGCGCCTGATCGGGGCGTGCGGGCGACGCGTGGCAGTGGCTGCTCTGGGAAGGCACAAGGGTGAGCCGACGCCTCCCCGTGTGGCCGACCAGGTCAGCCACGGTTGCAGGGATTTCGGGCGCCGCAGAAGCACGACGGCGACCGCATTGTTGATGTGGCAACAGGGCGATGACGATCCACGTGTTGGAGAGATGATCCAAGCGCTGGAGAGATTATTCGGGGAGACGGACGGCTAGACGTATCAAGAGCCACCACACAGGCACAAGGAGGCTTCTCAACCGGCCTTCGTCCTGAACGGATCGGCACGACACGCGGCGTTAGGGACGGGCTACGGGGGGATGCCTACCGGGAACATCGAGGCTGAAACCCACGCGCTAGACAAGGGCATGCGGGGTGCCCGATCGCCACTGGGCTGCGCTGGGCGAGAGCGGCGTTCTAGTCCCTTCGGCGCGGCCCCGCTGTCGACGATCCGGCAAGCGAAAGCCTGTGTACCGCGCCCGAGTGGGAGCACGACTTTCGGGGATTGCCTGCGCGGCGTTGAGGCGAGAGCGACGTTTCGAGGTGTGGGCGTGTATGCGTTGAGGCGTGGAAGACATCGCGAGACGTGCGCCGCGTTCCACTCCTGCCAGGCACTTTCAGAGTTGTCGACCACGAAACGTCCTCGCAATGAATGCCGACAGCGTATTGTCATTCGATGGGTAGAGTTGAACGTCGGGGCTTAGGGCTTGAAATGAATCGATGGAAACGAACGTGTACAAGTATGGAGCGGATAATGGTAGCGGGGGTGGAGCTGTATGGGGAACAAGGAGGGGTCAGGGTCCCAGCAGGCATTTAGGTGCGGAAATCCTCGAAGGTTTCTGGATGCCGCAGGCGGTCCTCATAGGCTTTTGGAGGCCCCCGGAGGGCCTAACAGGACAAAAAAACGTCCGAACAGCTCGATCCTTGATCTCCGAGGATCGAGGAGGAGGCGGACGAGGAGGAGGAGGAGGAGGAGGCAGTGGGATGAGGAGGACAAGTAGTAGGACCAGCGAGTGTGGAGCTGGGTCACGCCGCTGGCGCCGAGGCGAGAGTGCGAGGTGTGCCACTGGCAGTACTGGGCTGCCGCCGCGCGCGCGCCGCCGCCGTCGCCGCCATCGTCGTCGTCGTCGACGTCTTCCTCGTCGTCGTGGTCGTCGTCGTCCTCGTCGTCGTCGTCGTCCTCGTCCTCGTCATCGTCCTCGTCGTCGTCGTGGTCACCGCCGCCGCCGCCGCTGCCGTCGTCGTCGTCGTCGTCGTCGTCGTCGTCGTCGTCGTCGTCATGGTCGTCTTCGGAGGCAGAGGCGGCGGCGGAGGCGGAAGATTCTGAGGCGGTGGGTGGAGGCGGAGGCATGGGGTGGCGGTTGGCTTTTCCATCGTCGCCAAGCGTTACCACAGTTCGCGGCGGGCGGGCTTTGCGCGATTTCGATCTGGCGAGGATCGAGCATGGAGAGTCGAGGCTCCAGGATCGAGGAGGACTGGCTTGTGTTTCTTGTTGGTTAGTTTTGGTGGTCGCGTTTTGTGTGTTGTTTGCTTTGGCGGCGAGCGAGGGGGGGAAGTGAAAATGAGAAGGCTTTTGTGAAGGCGGCGGGACTTCTCAGAAGCGCTCCTGCCTTCTGGGAATTTTGCTGTGTCTTCGGGCAAGATTGAGACAACTCCTCAGAAGGCCCAGGGACTTCCGAGCCTTCTGAGAAGGCCCGCCCCTTCTCACTTCCCTCTGTCGCTCGCCGCCGAATGACACCCTTGCGGCAGAAGACTCCACACAGCTTTAAACATGGCCCAAACCACAGAGGGGCACGGATGGAGACACCCATAGAAGTGACCACAGCATACAGTACCCTCGTACAGTGTAGTCGAGCATCGGAAGGCCACGGGAGGCCATGGGAGACCGAGGCGCCCGACCGACTCGGGATCCAACGATCCCCTGATTCGGCTTCGTGGAATAATTTCATATGGCCCACAGACGATGTTTTGGGAATAGCCGAAGCACGTGTTTGCCAGTGTGGACCCCGAACAGTGACCATGTCCACTCTGGGGGTGTGCAGTCTCGCCCTAGCAGGCACATAAGGACCCCCCCGCCCCCAGTGATCACACAACGTATCCCGCACCCTGGAAGCGAACCTCCAGAGGGACGAGGCATTCCTGAGAGAGGTGGAGGCGGCCCGGCGCCGCGCCGAGTCGGCGAAGTTGGGCGTTGCGTAATAGGGGGGTCATAAATGGGGGGGTGGCGAGGGTGGTCCGAAAAGGTACCCAAACGGTGCCTAAACGAGCCCCCTGGGGCTCCGGAGGGGCCCGAAAGGGGCACGAAAGGGGACCGTTTCTGACCCCCCCATTTATGACCCCCCCATGAAGCCACGCCCAACGAAGCCGAGGGCCCCCCCCCCCCGTGAGGCGTGGGAGCCGGGCCGCAGAGTGTCGAAGTGGGCCCGCCTGCGCTTGCCAGCCCCGGTCCGGCCCCTCCGCCGCGGGTCGAGGGGGCCAGGGGCAACGCGCGTGGGCCTCTGGTCAGGAGGGGAAAAAACACACAGACACAATGAATCGTCGACTCCCAGGAAAATATGGGAAAATATGGGAAATGGGGGGGAAGACAAAAACCCAGAAAATATGGGGAAATATGGGGAATCTGGTTATTTGTGTGTATTTATTTGTGTGTCCAAGTTCCCCTTCATCTGGGGGCCCCCTCTCCTCATCTCCCGGCCATCCCGGAGGAAGGGGGCGCGGCTTGAGAGGTCACTCGACCCGGCAGTTCACCACCCACCAAACCACCCCAACTCAACCCGAAGGCTCAGATTTACCCTTGATTTCCAGTGGGGGGGGTCGGGAAACATTGAAAAAAACACATGTGGAACCCTTACCCCCCCCAACCCGAAATTCGGGTCTTCGGGTTGGGTTGGGGTGGTCTGGTAGGTAGTCAGCAGTCAGAGGAATACGCCGGCGGCGTCTACGATCGACGACCGCCCGTCGCCCATGGTTCGGTCTCGGCAGATTTCTACCGATGAGGATGAGGCCGACAGAACGCACGCCTATCGCAGAGTGGACAGCGAAGACAGGGTCGAGGGCTCCGGGCAGGCCGAAGGAGGCCACGATCTCTCTTATCCGCTTGGCCTCCTGCCGGCGTCCACTGCAGGCCCCACTGCCGCCCAGGCGCCAGGGTTTGCTGCGTATGCTCCCGCTTCTGTCTCAAGTGCTGGACAAGTCCCAGACGCTCCGTCGTCGAACAGGGCGCCCAGTGGCCAGAGGTCTACGGATGGGATTGTTTTGCGGAATGGAATCCTGGACTCAGGCATGCGACGGGCCAATCAAAGGCCCACTCGCCTTGGGGAAGACTTGCGGGGGATGCCTTCGGGACGAGCCCAGGAGCAGATCAGAGACATTGAAAGCAGACAGCCCGCCCGCAACCGCTCGATGTCTCCAGCTGCCGTTTCCGAGGCGGCTGGTCAGGCCTCACCGATGGATGGAGACCGATGCCTCCGGCAGCCTCGCGCTGCAGGATGGGGAGCTGTGGGCGCTCCTCGGGCTTGAGGATGGTCAGCTCTACACGTTTTTCGAGGATTTGGACGGGTCCATAGAAAATGAGGGGTGGAGCGGAGATTGGAGGACTTACCATAACAGGAACGCTAGCGTGGAGATACTTCCAGAGGGGAAGGGCCCCTCCTCGCAGGTCTCACTCTCTCTCCTTGCGAACCGGGGATGCGAGGTTCGACTCGAGGATCTCGACGCCCGAGAGCGGCGAGAGTTTGCCGCGTCAGATTCCCATGAGTGGAAGGGTACTATCGAAACGAAGTCGGTAAAAGTGCATCCTCCGGCCGAAGGAAAGAAGCTCCGAGCTCTCTTCCCCGCTCGCGTGGTTTCGAGCCAGATGGTCCGCCGCTGGAAGCCCCGGGGCAGCGTGGGAGATCGGCCCAAGGCAGAATCTCGCTGGCGTGTTAGGGAACACCGCCGAACTCCAGGTCTTTGCTCCTGCACCATCCATGGAGTCACTGATGCTATTTCTGGCTATCACGTAGGAGATATGAAAGACGCCTCTTGTAGGTCGAGGTTCACGTAGGAGATATGAAAGACGCCTTTTGTCAATCGGACCCTCTGAGGAGGCCGAGAGGCAGAGTTTTCGTAGAACCATGTGAAGGGCTTAATCTCCCAGCAGGTGCCCTCTTCGAGCTCATTGCTCCTGTTTACGGGCTCGACGATGCGCCCCTGCGTTTCATGAGACCTCGGCTAAGTTTCTTGAGGGACAAGGTTGCGTTAGGACCAAGCTCGAACCGCGTTGGTTTGCTTCCCGCAAGGGTGATTGCCTAGTCTCTCAGGTGCTGTTGGAGGTCGACGACTGGGCGATCGCTGTTCCCCCCGGTCAAGAGCACAAGTGTATGCCCGAGTTTCGCACGCGTTTCAATTTTGGAAAGATGGAAACGCTGGGCGAAAAAGGAGTTGCATACGTAGGGCGCCAGCTCCGTCGAACCGGACAGGGCTCTGCCAATCCCAGGATCCTCGTGGACCAAGAAAGTACATCCTGGAACAACTTCAGAAGGTTCCGATGTCTCGGGAAGGCGCGGGGACCATAGTAGTCCTCTCATCGGCTCCGAAGTGGCTGAGTTCCGCAGCCTGGGCTACAAACTGAATTGGGTCGGCCGTGAGTCCAGTGCTGAAGCTGCGGGGTTGGCCTCCGTATTAGCCACCGGAATCAATTCCCCCAGCGTCGGGGATCTTCTGGAGGCCAAGAAGATGGTGGACCACCTGCGCCCGACCGCGGCTTTACGGGTGGTCATGCGCCGCTTGGATCCGAAGCGGTTTCTCTTCGCCACGGCTAGCGACTGCGGCGGCGCTGGGTCCGACGACTGTCAGCATCCGCAGCAGGCCGGGCAAGTTAGAAGCAGACAGTGCGCCAGCGCGCGGCCAGCAAGCTAGAGTTACCCCCTTAGCCTGGCGATCGCGTCGCGTCAAGAGACAGGTGGCTAGTGCGCTCGCCGGGGAGACTTCCGCCCTCTCGGGGGCGCTGGCCGAAGCGCAGCGGCTGCATCTGATGTTCGAGGATGTGACGTGGATGTCGCGACGGAAACCTGGCAGGATCAGATCGGCCCTGCGAGCCCTTCCTGAGCCTCCTCCGAAGCCGCATCGGGGAGGGGGGGGGCTTCTCTCGGGGAGGCGGGACGAGGCTTCCGAGAAGCCCCGCCGCCTGCCGGGAGGGCCGGCCCGTCTGACGCCGTCGGAAGCCGCGTGGGGGGCCTTTTCGGGCCGACTTGGGGCCCTCTCGGGGTGCTCCAGGGCCGTCTTGGAGGCCATCTTGGGCGTCCCGGCGGGGGGCCAAGGGACGTGATGGAATGATGAGAGGCTTCGCCGCTCTGCTGCGCCAGGGTTGCGAGCTGACCTTCCGCCTCGCCCAACTGCCTCAACATAGTTGACGCAGAAGGAATCTACGACACATTTAAGTAAGCTGTCAAATGGATCCCGTTCGGATCGCAGGGCTGCCATCGACTTAGCGGTCGTTCGTGACATCAGGTCGAAGATCGGAAGCGTTATCAGATGGATGCCCCACCCCCTGCTTCCGGTCGACTGCATGACTAGATCCGACATGGCTAGGACCGACGCGGCTCAGTTCGATCTGCTCCGTTCTGGGTGCCTTCGCCTGGCCTCCGAAGGTGGAACTCTCGAGGGTCGCAGGGGCGACCCCCGAAAGAAAGCGAGGTCCCGGGCCGAGTCCCAGAGGCAGCTCCAGCAGCAGGAGGGCGGGCCGACCAGCCAGCCAAAGGCCGTCTCATTGCCGAGTAGTTTTTCTGCTGTTAGGCGAAACAGGTGCCCAGCGGGAGTGCGCGGCGAGACCGCTGCGCTTTTCGGGCGCCGGCAGATGGCGGCAGCACAGTGTTTCTCGAGGGCCGGGACGGCCCTCTCTTGCATTTATAGGGCGGCGGCCCCCTTCTTAAGCTTTTGTTTTTTTCGGGGCGCTGTGAGATTCGAGTCTTGAGGCGTGCAGTTTGGTCGCGTTCCTCTGCCCCGCGAGATTCCACTGTTCATGAGTTTTAGACTGCTTGGAGTTTGCGTGCAGGCGCGACGCTGACGCAGCGATAAAGGGCCGAGGATATTCATCCTCGCAGTT